GCACATAGGCCTAAATCATTGAAAATTTATGGTTGTGCTATGCTAATGGTGAAAGTTTTTTGCTGTTTAATCATGACAAATTCAAGCAGTACTGGTCATCGAGACATGTCCACTGCCATTTATTATTAGGATTGATCAGTCTGGCAAAGGAGACTTCACAAAAATACAGGATGCTATTGATTCCGTTCCATTGAGCAATTCGGAGTTAGTTTTTATCTGGGTCAAGCCTGGAACATACAGGTTTGTTCTAAATTTCTTACACTAAAGAGATTTATACCCTACACTCAATAGTCATAGTAATGGTGCAAGAAACCCGTTTTTCTTTTTTTCTTTTTTTTGCCCTTTTCTTGGTGAGAAGACCAGTCAAACTTAAACAATATTGTCAAATTTGGTCTTCTAAGGACCGCCCGTGTTTTGGTTTCAAGTGGAATAGGGTTTCCATTGGAAGTAGTCTGGCGGTGGAGAGATGTACTTTTTGATTATCCATCCAATACTATCTAATTTTTCGTATCAAACATATCATTAGCTCTTTTTTTTCTTATTTCTTTTTTATTTGAAATAATTGTTATGTTGGAATTGGTTAAGCATAAAAATAGGAAAATTGACTTTAGTGTCAATTGTAGCCAAATATTCCGACTTGATCCGATGGTCAAATTACAAATTAAATAGACCAACTTGTACTTCTCATCAAGTAGATCGTCGTGGCATATTTGAAGTCTCAAAACCAATTCCAAATGAATAAGAAATTGAGGTCCAAAATTGGAATAAAATTAGAGAAAAATTGGCCTAAAATTTTGCCTAACTCTGTCGTTCGCCTATCGTTTGAGTGACAAGTGGGCGAAAGAAATTTTGTAAATATTTTGACGTTAGCGCTCGAGCGAGAAGCCGAAAACAGATTAGCAACAAGTGATGCTTCTGTTCAGAAAGTTGCGATATTTGATATGCAATACTTCACTCACAACTCCTCATCCTCTATAAATAAAACCTTTGAAACCTCCATTTTCTCATCCCAATAATATGCAATCAGTGCCGCTTCATGGGGTCTGAGGCGAACTTCGAAATTTGGGCTCTAGGCCCTAAGTCGTAGCAAACAATCTATTTTTAAAAAAAAATAAAATTAAAAATTAAAAGTTTACGGAATTAAATTTGTTAACTTAAATCAACAATAAAACAACAAATAAATTTTTTGGTGTTCCTTCCTTCTCTTCTCATTAAAGTATTTATTCGTTTATCAAATCTGACTTCAAATTAATGTTTCTACTCTTTTTTATCTCTCTCTCTCTCTCTCTCTCTCTCTCTCTCTCTTTTTCTTTTTTTAAGCTCCAGATCCAGATTTAGGAGCCATGGTATTTGAGTCAAATCACTTGTCAGCTAACAATTACTGAAAAAGTGAAAAAAGCAAAGGCAAAAAATAAGTTGTAGGGATCCCAAAGCAGTCCATAAATAATATCCCAGCAAAGGCCATAGAACAAAGGCAAAATGAAAATGATAAAATCTTTATTTTCTTAACTCCCAATTTCTATTTTTATTACTTGGGATTGGGACTAAACCTTGCCACCCCCTTTTTTTGGAATAACCTCACTATTAATCATTTCCATGTAAGAAATAAAAACCTTGGAGACTGCAACATCCTCTTCTTTAAGTGCCACTCCACCACTTTTCTGTGAACAAACAATATCTTGTGGAGTGACATCCTTAAAATTGTCTAATTGCTCCTCTTAAATAGCATACTCATTACAAAACTAATATAAATCTCTTCGACGAATACGAAGGATCAAGTCCCTGATTCCTTAATTCTAGGTCTGGAGCTGTCTCAATAGTTTGGATTATTGTGTCATCTAACTTCCAATATTGTGAAGGATCATGTATATGAGATGCTATCTCTAGATAATTATTTGCTTTCAATAAGGTATCTACAACCAATAACTCGATTGCCTTTCGAACTAGCAAGTATCACTTCCTTTACTCTTTTTATAGCCTCGGATTCCATTTCAATATGATGCACATCCACAATATGATCCACCACGTCTACAGGCATTTGCTCATGAGACCATTCTAATCCCTTGTGAATCATAGGAAGAAACTCATGTTCAAACAAGTGGCTAAAAGCTCCAAGGCCTATATCATGCAAAAGTCCAGCAAGTTTTCCTTTGTCTTTATGGATTCAATCATAACCAAAGGCTCTGTCCAATTACACTCAAAACAAATACCCTTCTTCTCCCATTTATATTCAGCTAAAAGCAAAATTAAAACCTTCTTGAAACCATTCGTAACTTTTTAAGCAATTGAATTGCTTGTATAAAATTAAGCCAGTGAGCCCTATTCAACTTTGAAATGAAATAAAAACCTTTCACACTCTCTTCTTCTGTTGTAGAGCTTTGCCATCAAAATAGTCCATTATTTTTTCTCCAAATTACATTCGAATATTTGATTAAAAGCTAGGAAAATCAAAAATGCCTTCAGAAGATTCAAAATTTCAAAATCAGTGAAAAAAGAGGAATTTATAGATGAAGTTGAAGAATAGAGCATAGCAGCATATTTTGAAAACCGCAAGAAGAAATCAGCCAATAACATTATAACAGCAATTACACCCCCAAAATCCTAAAATTAAGGGAAGAAAAAAAAATTGAAATACTATATTATGTGCAGGAAAGTGAAAGAAAGAAGAAAAATAAATTTAGATTTTAGACATAACCTAAACAAAAAGGAGCGGTGAATTGAGAGGTGGATTGTTGACGGTGAATCGGTGAGGACGGCCACCACATTAGCTCCGACCACCACCGCTGAACATGTAGGTTTTGCCATTGATTTCTCGGAGTCTGGAGGTCTTTTCTTTTGAACGCATGGGCATAGTGGGTCTTTTCAAATAAGAAAAAAATAAAAAAATAAAAGTGAAAAGTGAAAAAATGAGCCCACTAAAATTCTGGGCCTGAAGCGAAGGCTTCTTGGGCCTCCCATCAGGTCCAGCTCTGTATGCAATCATAGCATAACATTCTCTCCTCTTCTCTATCAAAATTTCTATATAAACTTCGCATAAAATTTGGTTTTCTTCATTAATTCATAAAAAGGAGTACAAAATCCCTTTCTGGTTCTCTGATATTGTGTTTTGGAGTGCTATTAACATAAGAGGATAGTCGTTGCATCTTAAAAGTTGATTGCCATCATTCGTAGGCACTTTTGCGGGGCAAAATCGACTTGAGGACAAAGAGTTCTACTCTTACCTCGACTTTGCATCCATTTCATTTGGTGTTATTTGGTGAAATATTTTTAACTTGTTTCCTTGCCGTTATTCTGTACAAACTTCGATAAGGTTGGTAAGTTTAATTTTGATTTTTAAAGTCATCACTCTATTAATTTTCCAACATGTTATACTCAAGCAGAGAAATTATTGTTGTGCCTTCTGAGAAGCCCTGCATTACACCGAGTGGAACTCAAGCCTCGACCACTGTTATAACATGGATTCATGGATCGATGATGGAGATATGCTTTCTCACTCTCCAGCAGTCAAAATATCAGCTTCCGATTTTGTTGGACGATATTTAACATTTCAGGTACTCCAAAATATGTCAAAAAGTATATTGGTGATTGCCAAATAATTTCATAATCCGATCGATGATGGATTATTTACAGAATAAATATGGAAAAAGTGGCAAACGTGTTGCATTGAGGGTTACTGGAGATAGGGTTGCATTCTATGGTTGCAGAATCATCTCCTATCAAGATACTCTACTAGATGATCCGGTCGACACTGCTACAAAAATTGTTACATTAAAGGAGCTACTGATTTCACATTTGGAAATGCAGCCTCTCTTTTCGAAGTAAGTTATCAAATAAACATAGGACTCGTTTGGTAAGAATTTTGGCTTTTAGTCGTTTCTTAGTTCCGAGACTAAAAAACTGCGTCCTGAACATGTTTAGAAAAAATTTTGACAGTGCTTTCTTGTTAGTAATCTAAGGTAGCTTTTTTAGAAAACTCTTCTATAAGAAATAGAAACAGAAATAGAAGCTCAATCAAATGGATCCTTAATCATGTTCAATTTAATGTATCAAACATATGTTAAAGTGATATTTGATTTTTAAAAGTGTGTATGGACAGAGGTGCCATCTTCATTCAATTTCGGGCGGAAAAGGAGCCATCACTGCACAAAGGAGAGAGTTTCCGACTGAGAATACTGGCTTTGTGTTCTTAGGTTGTAAAATAACTGGAAACGGAAATGGAGGCGCTCTACTCGGAAGACCATGGGGTTCCTATTCGAGGTCGTGTTTGCCCTGTCATACATGTCCAGTGTTGTACAGTCGGAAGGATGGAACGTTTGGGGAGACCAAAACAAGGGAAGGTACATATCATGATTTATTTAATTTTACTTTTTTTTTTTTTACTAACGGAACTTGCTTTTCTACTCTGGTATTACGTGACAGTTCAGTATTATTACATGGCGAATACAAGTGTTAAGGTCCGGGGGCTAATAGAGTGAAAAGGGTAAATTGGTCATACAGTTTATCAAATGAAGAGGCTGTTTCTATTCCTGAGTAAGAACATGATTGGAGGAAGAGGTTTGCTAAGACCTGCACCAACTCGTTTTAGAAGGGGCTCAATATCTGAATCTTTATTTCGGAAAAATTGAAATAATTCTCTTTTATCATTTGTTATTTTTTATTGCGGGTTGGACGTTCTTTAGTTGTGTATATATCTTCCATAAGAGTATAAATCTATGACTTCAGAAAACATTGTATAATATGTTTATAGCCTCGAATTACTTCTCTCTTTGCGATCCTCTCATTTTTGGACCATCTCTTGACCCTAACTGATTATCCCTGAGTTTGAGTATTATTTGTCCATGTCTGATTTAACTTAAATTGTAGATTAATATTCAAATCAAAGTCAACAATTAATTCTGACAATATATACAATAGAATTAACAATTTTAATCAAATTTTCAACCATACATTTCATTTACTTTTATCAAAATCGACTAGAATTTTGATTCGTAGCTACACCAGACAAGAACTGTGCCTTTACTTTATCTCTCATATGTTGCCAAACACAGAACAAATTCCCGCTTTAAGGCAGAGAACATGTATCACTAATTAGTGGTCCCACAAAAGAATCATTTACTACACAAGATTAACGTTAATGAACAAACATAATCAACTAACGGCGCACAATTGAACTATAATTCTTCTAACTCTGTATTCAGGTCCATTCTAAACTTGAAACATAAATACAAATCTCATTAACTAAAATCTGCAAAGCAACTGCTGATTTCTCGTTCGGCCCCCTCCTATGACTCCCATCAACTAAATTTCTCTGCATTCAATTTAGTTTAACCAGGAGAACTTCAGTCTGCTCGGGAGCTGCTGGTGCTAGCAGAAGCTTTTTTCCCACTGTACTTCTGTTACAATGCAAAAAATAACCATTTAAACTTAAAAACGAGCGCATGGTTTGAAGCATTAATTGGTACTCATAACCACTCCAGCTTATCCAGTCTTCGGTTGCACTTCATGAAATCTAGATTACAAGTCTACCCAAATTTCCAGCAACTCCACAACCCAAACGAGACCTTAAGAAACTCTTAAAGCAGTCTTAACTAGTAAGCCTGAACAACAGGCTACAAGAAGTTTATATCAAATAAGTATGGGGTCAACTATATATAAATCCTTTTCCATTCAGTTTGGTTCATTTCTGGCTCAAGTACTAATAAAGCTACACTAACAATCATAAAAAGGTTAGCAATATTTAAAGGAGCTCACCTGCTTTCCAATACTGAATGGGATGTATCTGTACTTGATCATATGCATAATTTGCCGCTTCATTGTAAGTACAAAAAGAACAATCCAATAGCACAACAATATGGGCCAAAAGACGGGGACATCAAAAGCCGAAAAGAAGGTCATAAACAATGCTACACAGAAGGCCTTGGTGATGGCATACCTGAACCATATAAATAAGAAACATTATGACTATCAGGCATCACTCTGTGGGATTTTCCTTAAATTGTATATAAGGATATTAGGCCTCCGTTTGGTAGCAATTTTTTACCCCAAAAAATCAATTTTTGGACCATTATTTCACTATTCAAGGCGTCATTTTTGAGTTCTTCACTCACAAGTGGGACCTACTTTTCTCTCTAACGGTCAAAAAATTAATTCTCATAATCACTACCGAACAGACCCTAGATATTAACATGAGTATACAGTAAACAACAACATAATACAGCAAGTTTACAGATTCAGTGTGGTGAAAGCAAAAAAAAAAAAAAAATACCGAAACGCTGTACAGCAGTAGCCAGTAACTAAATTTTTTTAATAACGAGCACTTAATAATAATTTCACATAATATATGGGAGGTGTGGAGATATCTAGCCTGGAAAACGAAAAGGACCCAGAAACTCAATCCAGATCCAGATATTGGACATTACTAGAGCAGAAGATGCAATTAGCAGGTGCTCTATAAAGCCATTTCAAAAGTATAGAAATAGAATATGCCATGTTTAAAGGAAAGCATTATTTGCAATGTCAACAATAGATTTTCAAGAAATGTTTTAGAAAGACCCAGGAAAGAAATATTACATTTAAAAAAATGAGGGGAAAAAAAAAAAAGTTGAAAGCTTCCGTTCATAATTTGACTATTGACAAAACAACCGCTCATAAGACATTGACTTCAGAGACGATTTACCACAATGCAAAGACAATGGACATAATAAATCAAATAAGAGTAAATACTGAGATTTTCCCTAGTTGAGCGAGGAAATGCCCTATTGTGGCTGCACTCCATTGCCATCTCAAAAAACTTAAATTTACAAATGAGTAGAAGTAAAGCAAAAGTCACAAGCATACCACAATAACTGCAGGAAATTAATATCAGACTAGAGTCAAACCTCATGGTGACAGAATATTAGAAAAACAATCTAAACGATGCTATAAATCATACCAGAATTTAAACTCTGGGAGGCGGCGAATGAAAGGTTTGAATTCATCTGAACCCTTAGTGGGCAACATAGGTCCATCCGAAGGTTCAAGCTCAGGGTCAACAAGAGGGGACAAAAAGCCAATGAGCAAATTCAGGATATAGATCCCCAGTCCATACACAATAATGTAAAACCCTTGAGCATAGTAGATCCGCAGGGCGAAAACAAATAATAAAATGGCAGTACCAATCCACCGATATAGAGCATGTGGGGTAGATTTATCTAAATAGTACTGGAAAAGCTTTGACACTTCATGTCTACGTTGGTTCAGTGCTGCAGCTGCTGCTGAGGAACCATCCCCTCCAACACCCTCCATTAAAATCAATCAACTTCAAAATCCTACAACCATAATTAAAAAAAAAAAAAAACACTTGAATCAGATGAATCGCCCAGCGTTTCACAAAGAAGAAAACCTATACATTCAAACTTGGCACGAAAGTGCAGACTAAGAAATGAAGTAGCCGGGAATCTTGAAACTATTTAGCCTTTCAAGTGATAATGAGGATAATGAACCAGTTTTTTCCATAATACACAAACATAGGGACTCAATTTCTAAAGCAAAGGAAATCCTAAAACTAAATTGAACGGCGATCAGAAGCAGATCTGATAACGGCCGATCCCAAATTAAAAAAACATAATCACCATATGAAATTAATTGCAATATAGTCCTGCATTGAGGTGAATAATATCTATAAATATCTAACGAAGAAAATCGCGGAAAATAGGTTTACCTTCAGCGAAAATGTAGCAGGAGAGGAGAATGAATTTTCGGGGATTTTGGGGACGAAAACAGGTATGGGTCTGTTTGGGAGGCGGCGTTGAAATGTCGCCGATTTGACTGAAATTATTTCACAAAACAAACAGGTGCATTAGGGAAATATAAAAATGGGTTTAATTTCACTTCTGGTCACTCTAATTTGACTGGAGCTGCATGGGGCTCACTCATCTTCAATTTGATGCAATCAGATCATCTACTAAAAATCTGATTTTTAATCTTACCCCAGAGGGGCCATATTTATTATGTGGGGGGAATATTTTAATGCTACAAGGTGATTTGCACATGGATCCCTATGGGCGGATTGAGGGGAAGTCCCCTCAACCCAAACTTCTTCTTCTTCTTTTTTTTTTTTTTTTCCCTTCCTTTTGTAGTAAAAAAAAATTAAGTAAAAACAAACTTTTATGTGTAATTTAGCTTGTGTTTCATAGCTATTTTCAATTGATGTTTAGAAGAATTTTGCCGATTATTGCTGAAGGAGACGGCCGTATTTATTGACCAACAAGGAGCTAAATTACTAGTTGCCCCTTGGAGAATGCTACTTGTACAATGTGGACTTACAATGCGAGGTGGAAAGGGTAAAAATGGAAAGGAGCATCAGAAAGAAACACGTTATATTAAAAACACACGCTATTAGAAAGAAACACGCTATTAGAAACACAGGGAGATATTAAATTTAAACTCTTACTTCTTTTAACTCTTATAGGAAACGAAATAGATGCCGGATGAAAAACCCCTCTAAAAATTTCCCCAAATGTCATGAACGGCTACTGTATATAACTTTCTAGTGAATCAGCTGAGGGTTTCCGACGCCACACTAGAAGAAAAAGCCCTCTCTCAAATTTTCCCCAATTGTCGTGAACGGCAGCAGCAATTTTGTGGTTTGAAGTATCAATTCGACGAAAATATTAAGGAAAGGGGCTTTACAGGAAGGTACGTTTTTTGAACAACTTTATGGTGCCGTTTGATGTACTACACACTAGCATTCAACACGAATTTTGCTATTGTTCTTGTTGAAGATTATCTGGGTCAGTTAAACATTTGGGAAATTTTCCTGTTTTCGATGAGTTTGGCGTTCAGGCTTCCTTTCGAAACTATGTTTTTTTTATACAAGTGGTTCTTGAAGAATTGTTCCTGCTATTGTAGAAATTTTGTTGTTAGTGTGATAAGTGAATGTCGTGGATTGTTGATATTATTATTGTATCCCAAAATATCTATAGCTGAGACTTCATTCATGTTCCAAAGTGCATAAAGTTTGTAGTTTTGTCCAAACTGGTTTCTGGGCTCGAAATGCGGCATAGCTGCGACTTCATTCATGTTCAAAAGTGTATAAATGCTCGAACATGTAATGCTGAGAGTTGATTAATGTAAAGAAAAACTTTATGTATCGTATAACTTTATCTTTTTGGTGCTTGATTCCCATTGTAGAATGCCAAGAAAGAACTCCGGAGTATGTCACAGCTGTAGGAGTAAAGCCCACTTTTTTGTCTAATGCCCGATAAAAGTCCGATGTCCAACGTGTAACCAAGGTTTTCAGAAGTGGTTTGAGGTAGAACGGGCTACAGCCAACAAAGGCAAATTCTTCAAATGTTGCAGTCTTAAATGTGGTTTCTGGGAGTGGTGCAAAGAAGGGGAATCAAGCGGCAAAGCCAAGGACGTTGGTGTTATGTTTCCGAAACCGGATCCGATAGATTCAGTTGATGATATGTCCCGCATGTTTCAGTCGCAAGTTCGGCTAAACGATGAACAAGAACTCCACATTTTTGTGAATGTGACGATCCGAACGGGAAATTCAAACACTGAGTGGAACACCAAGGGCAAGGGGCCGGCTTGATTGGCGGTGCATTTGTGTTTAGTTATATCGAATCTTTTGTTTGTGTTAGCAGTGTTAGCTTTAGCAGAGTCAATGTTAGGTTGTTGGTTTTATTGTTATCTCCTCCAATCCAGTAGATGCAGAGGAGAAGAGGTTTTTAGCATGCAACAGAACTATGTACTTTAAACTTTGGAGATGTAATATATTTTCCTTTTTTCTGGTGTTAATTCCACACATTATTGCTTTGAGATTATTTCTGGTTCTGGTTCTGCTTCAATCTTGTTGCTTATTTCTAGTTCAATCTCCTTCACCTAGAGATTACACGGCCATTTCTAGTTCAATCTCTGAAGAATTAGATTGGATCTCATGCTCAATACTTGTACCTCGTCTCAATTCACAATGTCGATCAACGTATGGCTTGCCAAATGGTTGTTGAACCTTATATTTGTCCTGAAACTGTAAACTCTTATCTGCTGACGGCAATAGAGCCTCCGCTTTGACAACTTCTGAGATTTGTAGTCGCATTGAACTCCTCTTCTCTAAACTGTGGCCCATGTCCATAGCTGTTTTCTACACATTCAGGACCTAAATTTATGATAGATAACATGGCATTACATCTCCACTCATTTTTTAATGTCTGATTTTCTTCCTGCAGATCAATTTAACAAGGTAATCAGTAATTAAAATTTCAAAACTTTTAAGTTGTTTGCAAAGCTAATTAGCTAATAACACATCTATAGAACCTAGTCGACCCAAAATACCAATGAAAAACATACTGCTGCTTCACAATTAGGACCAGTTGACTAGATTTTGATCATTTACATGCAAGTTACACATTTACATACCAAAATATGAAAGCCCCAGGAGAAATTTCCGGAGGATGTTCTTATTTTTTTAATTTACAAACAGGTATTGCATAAGAATCAAAGGGCAAACCACGAAAGAATAAACGTATTAGCAAAGCTTCCAGCAACAGATCGAATATAGATTACAATTGAAAGAGAGATTTCCATTGAACACTCCAAGAATCAGATAAAACCAAAATCTTGAATTCTAATATTTCTCCAAGATTATAAATCAAGCGGTCAGGATTTGCACCCGAACCAATTGACCTAGAATATACAAAATCCATATATTTCTAACATGCAATACTTATAGATAGGATGAGCCATGCTATTATCACTTTGTTTCATAAACCATAGCATTTAAACAGCAGTATCACCAGAGTATACCGAGGACAGAAAAACAGATAAATAAACCATAATTCTAACATTAGAATTGACCTAGAATTCGAATATGAAGCAAAATGTTTTTCATCAAATTCTTTACAGAATTCGAATATGAAGATGGAAATTCTGTCATCAAATTTAAAACTTTTGTCTCCCAACTGATCAGCAAAAGACCTTCAATTTCCATCTTCAAACAATCATGGCTCGAAGCATTTACCCTTGCATCTTCATCTTTGTAGTTATAACTGTCACCAGTTATACAGAATGCCTCCTCATCTGCCGGGAATGCCAACAATTCCATCGACCCCGGGTGATTCACATCTGCCCCAATGAACATAACATAACAAAATGCATGACCTACTCATTGCCACCTTGATGCCATTCCTCTGGATAGTAGTAAGGATGTGCATGACCTACTATAAAAGAGGACATCAATGTAAGAACAAATTATGGATTAAAAAAAGGAAAAAAGAAACGTGGTTTAATATAAATGCGTACCTTAAGAATTGAATGTTGGATGGGTCGAGGACGGATGGATCGGTGTGGAACTCGATAATTGTTGTGGAAACACTTGGCTATCATGGTCACCCTACATCAAAATAGGAAAGCGCAAATGACACAACAAACCTACGAACGGGATAAATTAAAGTTACTTACCAACAAGAGCTGCGAGTAGGAGAACGGAATGGACATTGACGAATCATGTTGTTGATGAGCTTGAATGGACGATGCACCATCTGGTGGATAAGTACGCCTAGCAGTTGGTCTTTTGCCTTTCGATGGAGCCTGCACGTACAATCGAAAGAATGAGATATAAATGTTAGGAGATATATATGTTAGGAATCCGTTTCACTTCAGAAGGTAACACGCGAACTTACCGTTGCCTTCTTTGACGTTGACTTTAACGGGCCCTTTCTCCGAACTCTTTTAGGTGCACCCTTCTTGTTCACCGCGTTAGGGTCCAGTACTGTGCAACTTACATTCTTTTGCGAACCTATGTTGTTCGATGACACTTGAGTAGTACGTTGCAGTACAACATTGCTTCCGCTAATTGACCTCGAACTCATGAGTTCCTTCTCTTGAACTCCTATCCATTCCATAATCGCATGAGTCCGACCTTCGTCTTCTGCAGCTAGATCGGCAATGGTAGCGAAAGCCTGACACATTCTATCATAACGCAACTGTCCGGGAGTGCTAACCAATCCACTATAGCTAACAGCGACCCTGATGTGTGCTCTACTAACATCTCTCCTCCATCTTCGAAGTACATACCTGTCTGGGAGTACACGAACGTCATTACGGATGAGTACTGCGATTGCATGCCTGCAAAGAATTCCTCGAAACTCAAACAAGTGACAAGTGCAGACAATGTCACAGTTCTTCCTATTAAATAACACTACGAATCTTTTTCTCTTTCGTCGATCCCCGCATAGCACATCGTCGCATACCTCGTAGGTCGACCCTGAATAAACATCCGTCGTAAATATGATGTCACAATATACCTTCCCTGCGAACTCTGTTGCACTTCCCTAAATTTTGAAATTGTGTATACTGCCTGAAATTGCTGCTCAATTTCATACGTCGTTGCACACGGAACCATTTGCGAAAATGACTTGAAATCAGCCTGGAACTCCTTCTCCACCTTGTTCCGTAGTGTACGTTCATACTGTTCCACAAATTGCTTCAGCGATCTTTTCGAGTGCACATATCCATCGAAAAAGGCATTCATACTCTTAGATCGTTGTGTTGATGACATTCCGGCCCAGAACGATATTTTTAGAAAGCAAGGAACCCATCGACCTCTATTTTCGTAAAGACCTGACAACCATTCACTGTCTTCCAACTCATATTTATCTATCATTATTTTCCAACCGGCCTCGAATTCTTCGACATTCTGTGAATCATACACCAATACGTGTATAGTCGAACATATAGATCCCTTGTCCACATGGTAACCAAACTTCTCTGGCAATTTCTTTAGAATGTGCCATAAACACCATCTGTGCTTCGTATCAGGGAAAACTATTTGTATTGCATTTTGCGTGGCCCTGTCTTGATCGGTTATTATTCCATGTGGCGCTTGACTGTGCATGCACTTAAGCCATGTCATAAATAGCCAAACAAAAGTATCTGTGTTCTCATTTGATAACAAACCACAACCAAAAAGCGTTGATTGTCCGTGGTGATTTACGTCAACAAATGGGGCAAACGGCATATCATATTTATTAGTGAGGTATGTTGTATCAAACGTCACAATGTCCCTGAACTCCTTATATGCTTGACGACATCGATTGTCTGCCCAAAAAACATTTCTCAGCCTTGAATCTTCGTCCAGATCAATGCTAAAGTAAAATCCCGAGCACTCTGCTTGCATTTCTGAAAAGTAAGACTGTATTGCTGCTGCATCTCCCTCCCCAAGTTTTAACCGCCTCACTTTTTCAATATAGTTGCTACAGTCCTTTTCCACACAACTAAGATTCTCATAACCTCCTGCTTCAACAACTGCAGAGTTGAAGCTTTTGTGCAACGGAATCCCTGCCAGGTCATTCACTTCAATCTTCCTTTTCACATGTGCACTT